TGCCTTATTCCTCAACAACTGCAAATTATTTGTCATGTTCTGCACTCATTTTTTTTTCATGGATTTCTACCGACATTAATGACAAAATCTGACAACATTAAGGAAGACACAAAGTTAGAAATCTGACTCCTGGCTCAAAAAGGCTTGCACATCACTGGAAAGTCTGCCTTATCATGTCCTCTAACTTCACTAGAACTTTTAAATGCAGTTTTCTTTATGCAATATCAACATAATTCCACACCTATCAAAATATCTCTAAATGAGAATATCCTGAAACATGTCAAAACATCACTACTCTATTTTAGAACATCTAGAGGTATGACAGTGTTCATTGCACATATATTTTGGGTTGTTTCCATTTGGTTTAGAAAAAATATTCTCATTCTTATGTCTAACATATGAGAACCATGATTCAAATGCTACAAATGGTTCCAGTTCTAGTGATCAGTGTATTATGTACAACCCTGTTAGGAAATTGAGAGTTAATTTAAAATAAAATATTCTGGAGTGGGTGCTGTTTTACCAGCTCAATACATAAATGGTGCTATTCCCTTGGTTTGTTACTCAAATCACAGACTCTTAGCCTCCAAAACCTGATTTGAATCATTACCCTTTCTTGAGCCACTGGAGAGCCTGACCTGTTATCTGAAATCGTGGCTGAAAACTAACTTCAGGCAAAAGCTGGATAATCAAGTATCTTTTCCACGCCACAGTAACTGGATTTGAACCATTATTTGAAATTTTCTTAAACTGAACCAGAGTCCAGTCACAGCCAATCTCAGCGTGGAACTGCTTTTATGGCAATACAAAAGTCCTTACGTGAAGATAAAGAAGTGGTTAAGTTCCTAAAGGATGTGGAAAGAATTCCAGGTTGCTCAGTGACCTCAGTGCAAGGCTGAGGTTCATGATGCCTGCTGAGCTTCCTTGGGCTGAAGAGCAGCACCTGAGCACAAGTCCAGCTGGACCAACATTTGCATGATACCTGGGCTCCCGACCCTGCTGAATACTGAACTCAGCAGCAGTCAGGTGGAACTGCACTGCTACTAAACAGGATTTCTCCCCTGCACTGCTACTAAACAGGATTTCTCCCCATGTGAGACCAAATGCTGATCCGAAGATCTTGCAGGGGTGCTAAGCTGTGCAGAGCAACAAATTCAACTCTTTTTTCTGCAAAATGCAATGGTCCACATCAAGTTGGAAATAGGAGAATGGAGTTGTGGTTCCTGCTTTAAAGCTCTTCAGTATTTTTACCACTACTATGCCTCTCATTATGCATATATACTCATAGATAAACAACACTTACATTCATACCCTCACATACACTCAACTAGAGGAGGTTCTTGAACTTCTGAAGATGATCTTAGGATTTCAGAGATCTATTTCATGTGTGAAGGATCAAAAGAAAATACCTTAAGGACAACAGCAGCTTCATTGTACCTGAATAAGCAAGAAGGTGTGAAAAGCTCATGATGAATTTGCATGGCACAAACACCATACATCCAATGACTCAAACAAATCTTGTAAGTCTACTGTATAGGACTTCTAGAGCTGTTACAGGCATTGAAAAATTCGAAATACAAAATAAACATTTTAGGAATTATAACCCAGAGGTAGTGAGGTCTATAGCAGTGCACACATCCTCGGGACTTCAGTGTTGGTACTGGTTTCCACTACAGCAGAGTTATTCCTGGTTTCCTGATATAACAGCCTTCTTACAAAGAAAACAGGTGCCAAAATAATCATCACTGTGAGTGATACACAGTATGTCATCCCCCAGTCCAACTCTCTGGATTCCTGCAATTTTGAATATTCTGCTGGCAAATGTCAAATGTTGAGATGTATGCACTGTGGAAGTAGCAATAAGGGTCTGTTCCACAATGACCTGGCAGAAAGCTCTGCTTACCTACTGTCCAGACAATGTTTTGCACAGCATCATCCACATCATCCCATGAAACAGATAGAACTTTCAAGTCAACATCCTGACACATGAGCAGCTTCTGATGTTTCATCTTAGAAACTCATTTTTAATCCTGCTAAAGCAGAGCCTACCCTACGTTGACGCAATGCAGCTAGCCTCAGCTCCATCAAAAAGACCCAAAACCTCACTGAAGCCGTGGAAGTCTTTTACATAACTTAAGGATGATAAACTGTATTGTAGCTGCGGTAGACTCCAGACCCATGTTGTTAATGACAACATAGCACTTGTTTATGCAGTGACATAAAAGCAATTTATCAGCCCTCCCCAGACTTGACTGAATGGCTCAGTAAGCTTGGTGTGAATTTTATAATCTGTTGTTGCTTTTGAAATGCTTTTCTTGAGACAGAGAGAGAAAGCAAGAGATTGGAGAGCTCAGAGAAGTATTTTTCTTCTTCACAGAGGGAGAGACAGTTTCCTTACCCCACGTCCAAGGCCTGGTTAGTCATTGATGATCACACATTTCTTACTAAAGCAGAAATCCGTTTATCATAGATCAACACCTAAACCTGATTCCACTGTCCAGAGCAGCACATGAATTATTGCTGAGCTTAGAACAGTTCCTGCATCTGTTTATACAGCAGCTCCATTTGCCACCAGTATCTCACCTATATTTCTCTTGAGCTATTTCAGATATGAAACTTGCCATGCAAAATCAGTCCTTTTTATTTTACAGTCCTGCAAGTGAAGATTACATACCCATTAACTTTGTCATGAATCTCACCTACTGTCCAAACAAAAAAGCCATTTCTCATTCTGAAATGGAAGAGTTTTTTCTAAGTACTTTTGATTTGAACATCTTGACTTTGATTTAGTTACCATTACATATAATTCCATTTCTACCGTGAAAAGAAGAAATAGAAAACCTCATTTAACAAAAAGGTCCTTTAGTATGTTAAAATATGTACTTTCTATTATTTTAACACTGTTAAACACCACAGTGAGTCAAAACCAAAGTGCAAACATGGATTAACATAGATTTAACCTGAAACAGCCTGAGTCTGATACCCTATCAACAAAGAAACAGATTGGCTAAAGCACTCCTTCATTTTTCATGTAGGTGAGACTGCAGAAAGGTATTCATTATGTACACAATCATATCTGATACGACTTAGAAAGGGGAACGTACACAGCTGTGAGAATTCACATCCAACAAAATATATAAGCAGCTGAATAAATGCAGGAACATCACCTTAATGTTCCAAATCACTTGGTTCTCTTGTGGCTGATCACCATATCTCAGATGTAACATGGAATATATTTAGACCAAACTGTCTGCTTCCATTTAGTTAATTCATTTTCACTTTTTGCCTTCTAAGAATACGTATTGGGCAGATTGTAAGGTACAAACTTCTGTCAAAGTATTAATCCAAGTAGTATCACCAGGGATTTTTTTTACAGCTATGGTAAACTAAATATATAGATGTGAGTTCTCCAATGCCTTTTGTTAAACCAAGCACAAGAAGGAGACTGGGGAGATGTCTTGCATAAGAATTTGTCTATTTTTTACAGTTCTATCATTTGTTCTTAAAAAAAAAGCTAGGAAGTCTTCAAGGTTCTATCTCCAGTACATCTTTATACTACCATGGTTACAACAACCTTATTAATACAATGTGGATTAATGATGCATTGAACAGGTGACAACTTCTTCCATTTCAAGCATTCACCAAAAGTGCTTTCTTTCCCCATTGACCACATACAAGAAAACAACTCATTTAAGAGTAAACATCTGAAGTGAAGTGAGCAATCCTTTTCCAGGTGACACTGAAGTCAACTAAAATCCATTCAGTTACTGGAATAGGACAAAATATATGGAGGTATTTCATTAGCATGAGGAGTGCTGTTGTGTAAAATCTTACTTGATGGGGCTTCCATAGTCTGTGACACAGTCCTGGTTCTCCTGTTATTTAGAAGAAGACAGGGCTTGTGGATAAGCCAAATGCAAGTTTTACTCTGGCTTGAAGGCAGGACAGGCGTACAGCCATGCTACAGGTTATACTTCCCAGCTCTTAAGTTTATGCGCCCTTGGAACCTCAACTGGTGTAAACAGCTCCAGTTAAGGAGATATGCTGGTGTCTGTTTTCTGATGATTTCACCTACGTTTGTTTGCAAGTTTTAATTCTTAATAGCTTCGACCCTAAGCATCAGTGTTGGTACCACTTCAGAAACAATTCTTTTAATAATGTGAATAAAGTTGCACAAAGAACCTCAGAAATCCTGGCTAAGTTCTCAGGCAGGAACTGATAAAAGTGATAAATAAAAAATTTAAAATCAGTAGAAAAAGAAAAAAAATCCTTCAGTATATTACAAGTTATTAATTCATTGTTCTTAATACTGAGAATAATGTAATCACAATAGAAAGGCATTTGCCTAGCTCTGTGAGCATTCACCACTAGCAAAATTACTTAAATGAAAATGAAAAAATAAAAAAAGATAACTGTGTACACAAAATTAGCACGAGAATTAGCAATCACAGTGGCTCATACAAGTTCCTTAGCAGATCGCATCGTCTTTATTAATAAATGATGAACTGCCTAGTGGATTTTTTGCATAGTGATATCACCATAATAACAGACACGTTTTATTTATGTTTCAAGTTACTTCCAAAATAAGCAAATCATTCACTGTCAGGTTCTGTCTAACATCTGAATACACTTTACCCCAAATTTAAGCTTTCATTGATCTAGATGAGATAGCACTTCATCAAAACCAAAGGGAATAACACCACGAATTCAGTTGCTGTGCTCATCTTTGGGGATTTTGTTCCTGTGATACAACAAAGCAAAAACCTGCTTTTCTTAAAGCCGGCTGCACTTTTCTCATAAGGATGGTATTTTTTTTCCTCTATGGGATACAGTGCTATTTGTGCAGCAGATTGTATTTTGACAGATGCAACTGTATCACAAAAACGCCCTTAGCACTATCAGACTGGTTGCTCACAAACGTTCAGAAGCTCCAGGACTTCTTTAAAAACCCCAACAATTAAAACGTTTTTGAGAGTGTAAAATGCCTCCAAGCCACTTACCTCCCCCACACCAGTTTGCAGAATTTTCAGTCCAGTTGTCTTTTCAAGCTTGTCTTTGTTTACGGCTGTAAGGAAAATTAAGACTGCGTTACAGGAAATCTGGAATATGCATGATTTTGCAGCATTTAGAATATAACCAACCCTCTTTCCTCCATCAATAAATTCATAACTGTTCCTAGGTATACCATTTGTGGAATACCTTTTCCTGATAGCAACTCTGCTAGTTGAGTTTTCTGAATGCATAGGTAGGCCATTAATTGTTCATTATTATGTGAAAAATAGAAAAAGAGAAACTAATTCTAATTCTCTCATAAACACAGTGCAACACACATTTAACACATATACACAATATGTTTGGACAATTCTGTTCAGTGAAAACTTCCCACTGTCCTTCTTGTAGTGAAGGTGCAGGGCAGCACCATAACACAGCAACAGCACTGTCACTGTAGCGCACTTCACAACACAAAATCTCACATAGCAGGTAAGATAGTTTATTTCACAAATAGGGGTGCGATGCACAGTGTTTTATTTTTTTGAGATTTAGGGGTTTTCCCTTTTATCATCTTGGATGTCAGTAAAACCATTCAACACAAAAAATAAAGTAATCCAGCATAAAGCAGCTAAATGCAAAATAGAGGTGGTAACACTAAGACCACATGTATACTTGCAACCCAAACATGCCCAGGGCATGAATATGAGCACTGTCTTACTATTGCCTGTACTTTTAAATCATGACTATGGTCTCTAAATAATTTTGGCCCACTAATATTCGCACCAAAAAATTACCAACCACAGTTCTGGGAACAGCACAAGGATGAGATTATTCTCGTCTTGGGGTACAGGTAAAGTCATCTTGTTTTACATAGGAAGATTTTAACCTTCTAAAGATAAACTGTGTCAGTTGGACTCATGGCCAAAACCCAGGTACCTGGCTTGATCTATTTATGAATAGAAATGAAGCCCTGCAGTCATGTTAAACTCTTCTCCCTTTAGCTGTGTAGTCCCCAACTATGTAATTCAAGTGAGTCATCTAAATTCTCTCTGCAGTCAGTGGAAAGGGATGGACATTTAATACAATGAGTCATCTCCTATTATCTTACACACATCTGCAGGCACCTATCTCTTTCCTTTGATTACAGAAACAATTTGGATAGATCAGGCTTCTCAACTGAAGCTGCCTACAGGAAACATTCCTACCAGAAATGACAAGAAGTGTGCTACAGCATATTGTACACTGGAAATTTACATTAAAATACTGAAAGGATTTTTGTTTTTAATTTGCAAAAAAATACTTCTGAATTGTTGCAGTTCTAAGCATATTCAAAACAGCAGAGATTATAGCAGACAATCCTCAGAAACAATATTATTGTGAATTGATACTTTATTTAGTTTGTCCAAAGTGCCATACAAATGACTCACATTTATTTCAGAGGCATGTTGTGTCATTAGGGCTCAATCTCACCTCAAATATCCAAAACATGAAAAGACAGAGATAAGAGTCTTTATGTGCAAAGATTCAAGAAGTAAAACCTCAAGAAATTCTAATACCAAGAAACTTTCCTGTCTGCCTTCAGAAAGGGATGAATATTGCCCACGATTTAAATGGAGTGGAATGTTCTGTCCACCTTTTAGACCCCCATTTAAGCAGATAGCAACATGGATTCCCAAGTTAAGAAAGCTTAAACACATTTTGCTGAAAGATAGCCTAAAAACTACATGCACTACTCACATACTTAATACTTCTGCTATGCTTTATACATTCACAAATATATTTATTCCATCTGGAGTAACAAGGATCACATGAGAAAAAAAAGTTGCCTAGACCATGCAATTCGAGCCTCCATTTTCATTCCCTTGTATAGATGTTGTGCAGTACGAATTTCCAAAAGCAAGTAAATCTTTGCAAACAAGCTTAATATTTGGCCTTGAGTAGTCTATACTTTGTACTGGACTTTATACTCTGGACTATTTTGCTTCACTGATGGCTGATGGCCTGCAATGTCATGTAACAAGATTCACTCTTTCAGACGTACCATTTCGTTGCAAAGGTGTGCCATGCTACCACACTGATACCTCACACCCAGCATACATATTAAAGGTAGATTTCTACCAAATGCAAAAAATTTAGAAAAAAGATTGATAAATCTTTCCTGTTATAAAACAAGACGGCTCCACAGCTCCTCCAAAGAAAGTGAATGGTCCAACAAATTATTCTCTTGTAGCTTAAAATAAAGAAAACTGCACAGCAGAGTGGCTGCAAATTAAACATGTGTAAGTAAACAACAAAGCTTAAATCCCAGGGTGTAATTTCCTAGCACATGAACAGTTAATAGAAAATACTGGGTCTGCTGAATCACTGAATTTTATAATTACTATTACATATTTGACCTCTTTTTCATAGGTTTCCTGCAGACTTTAATTATTGATTCTTTGATTTTAAAAACAAAAAAAGCTTACTTAACACCCCCCTTTCCCCCTTGATATCGGCTAAAACACAAAGGACATCTCTGACAGCCATGCTAACACAAACCCTGCCAAAATTAGGAGGCATGAAGGCACGACGTGCTATTGATTAAATCATAACCTCAAAACGGTCAAGCTCTGGCACTTTCAAATTACAGAGCGAGACACAGTAGAGTCTCTGGCATGTTCACTCCAGGCATGTACAGGAGCATATTTTAGCTAACCTTGAACTCCACAAGCAGTTCAGGAAGGTCAAGAAATTCTGTCAAAAATGGTGTTGAAGCTGAAGCAGCAACTACATATCAAGCAGCTGCTTCAAGCTGCAGAACAGTGAATATAATTACTTAACTTTTACTATGCATAACTATAATTGAGAATTTAAGGCAATAAGACATAGTTGCTGTCCTACAGACAGATGAAGAAGTGGTAGGAAAATAAATTCAGATATTAAGAATAAGCTACTAATCCTTTGAAAACTGGCACTTTTTTTTTTTTTAAAGTAAATTAGTGTACTCTCTGTTAGCTTTTATTCCAATACAAATATACAGCAGGAGATATTTCTATTACAAATTTTATGAACTGTAAACAGTAATTCTGGGTAACATGGTATATTGAACATTCCAAAGTTGATTTTTTAAAGTCCAAAGTAAAAATGGAGAACGGACAAACTCATCAGTAAATAGGCATAATAAAAAAAACCTCTATTAAATAAAAAACAAAAAAACCCCAAACAACACAACCCCAGTTAGCAACATATAAATCCCTTTTTTTAATCTTCCACTGAAACAAAAAGGGCTTCCAAACACGCAAAAAAAGGAGGCCTTTAAATTAAATTCACTAGATGAAGGATATGCAAATTACCTGAAGAAGCGGAGCCCTATAATGTTCTCAAAATTCTGCAATAGCCTATTTAATTAGTATTTTAATTTATCAGAAGAATTCTTTGCACTTGACAATTTATGCAGTATTCCATATAATTAAGCACGCAGCTACAGTGGAATAATTTTGCCTACTCTCTGTATACCAGTTATTTTAACCTGAAAGAATTTGTGGAAGTCTCTTCTGTGATCTAAATAACAATGGGGACAATTTAATGGCTTTGCTCTATTAGAGAGCATGATGAGGGTGTCACTGAATGTTTAAGGGTAGGGATTGCCACTGTTCATAGCCTCCACTAACCTGAGGGATGTCTGATGTGTTTTCTGAGAGCTAACATTTATTTACTTTAGCAAAGTTATCTATCAGGAATATAAGTGTCTAGTTTTGTAGTTGGCATTTTGAACCTTGGTGTCCACCGGTTATTATGAGAAGCAGGTTATACAGGGCTTCAAGCAGTCATTATAGCACTTCTGGAAGAAGGAAGCACTGAGAAACGAGTGATCCACAGAGGTCTGCTATAAAGCCGGTTGCAACTCTGACTTACTTGTGGGCGCAGAGACTGGCACAAGCAAGATGAGGGAACGGTATATGCAGGAGGCTTCCTAAATCTGTCTCTTGTGCTACTGCAGTATTTACCTGCTCCAGAGAAGAAACCATCCTTAAATACAAAAAGCATTTGTGGAAAGATGGCATCATTCACAAGGAAACCTTATCTTCCTGCTGTGCATCTGACTTTGAGAGTGTGCTGTATTTAATTAAATGTAGGGGGGGGAAAGAACTTAGAGACATACAATTCCCCTGATGTCTATTACATGTCCATTTTAGAATGAGACAATTCATGCCCTAGACTCACTAACTATATTGACTGGACCTCCAGTCAATAAAGTGATGGAGGGTAATTAATTTGGATTTACTGTAGGCTGTCAGATGAATTCTACAATAACTGTCTTCCCATCAGCTTGTAAAGCTCCTTCCATATAGCCACATTGATAAGAATTTCCCCTTTTTGAGGAAAGGAAAGGGAAAAGGAGGAAGGGAAATCTAGAGAGATGGTAAGCTCTTATTACAGCTTTGAAGTCTTTAACAAGTTTTCTAAATCTAAGACAAGCAGATGTTGCATTTCTTTACATCAAGTTAGTCTTTGCTTTCTCTTCCCCTACAAAGAACCCCCTGGTAATGTGGAAAAAAATATGGCGGACCAGAAAGACTGCCTTGATGTTTGGAAGACCCATGCATTATGCCATATAACAGATATACTAAAACCTTTTTCCCTTGCAATTCAATGCAAATGAATTCCCATAATATGTGGGCTCTTTCCCTGTTGATAAGAACACAATCCCAGAGTGAAACTATCTTTGTACAGTCAGCAAATGCATCTCCTAAAACTGCTGAGGCATTCACACAACTCAATGAGACTGGGACAGAGGAAAACCTCACTGTCGATTCAGCGCTAAGTCTTTTTCCTTCAGAACAACCTGATGTTACATGGGTTTACCCCACCTCATTCACTTTCCTTTTATGGAAGTAATTCAGAAGTACGTTAATGAATTTTGAATTAGATATTTAGGTACAATCATTCCTTTTTGGAATACAAGATAAATGCTCCCTGACTTTGGTGTATGTCTACAGGAAGGTGCGAGGGGACCCTGTGCCCAGCCCTGGGTACTTCTTCCCAGTGGCAACAGCCTGTGAATTTGTAACAACTCTCCCTGGGCAGAAGTAT